AAAAAAAAAAAAAAAAAAGGGCAATATCACATAACATTTCAAAATCCCGATTAATGAAAAGAAGGAATGCTTATTTGAACGCTTTATGGGATTAAATGTTCTCCAGTAGCATGTTTCTTTCCTTCAAAGCAGAAACATGTAAAACAAAAACTGTGCATGCTTCATACTTAAAAAGGGTATGCTATATATATGTACATGTGGGAACAATTTGCGTACATAATATGTATGTACGTCCCTGCAAGCGAGAAAGCTGGATTAAAATACACAATTGGGGGGTGAACAAAATGGGATGTCACGCAAACGCTTAACATGCTTTTCCTTTCGAGAAGTTGCATGTTTTTTGAATTCACTTCCCCACCTCCAATTGTTTTCAAAATTTGTATAACGTAACTCTTCTCCCCTAGTCTTCTTCTGACATTATACATGTTTGTTTATCCCCGCTTGCAATTTCCATACAAATGAGTGAGTAATATATTTGTCCTTTTTTTTGCTCGACCCCCCCTGTCCCTACCTTCCAAGTAACGCAATACACAACGAACTATGGATGTAGATGACAATGGCGCAAAATTTTTTGGTATGAATAAATATGAGAATTACGTACATCAAAAAAAATCCAAAGAAAATAAAAACGGCATTTCAACAAACACCAAGGGGAAGGACATAAATCGCGCCACTGGACAATACGATAAGATTGATGCACACGAGGACAATGAACAGTCGTACGAAGGATATGTCACCATCTCAGACCAGTCTTCATGTGTGAGCTCCATTTACAGAAACGATTTTTATGATGACGACGATGAGCAGGACAGAGAGGTGGACGAAAATGGCAGCCGTGCCGATGAGGATGAAAAGTTTAACTCCGTCAATGTGACCAACCAATCGAGCTCACCCTATCATAGCAAAAGTAATGTTAAAAACAATTCTGATGACTCCATGTCAGATGAGGAATATGCAACTTATATAGATCAAAAGGAAAAGTATGTAAATAAAATTCTCAACAGAGGAGACAGCAATAGTTACGAAGACAATGATGATTTCTTCGAATCCCTCGAAAAGTCAGGAAAAAAGTTGGGGAATAAAAGCAACTGGAAGAGGCTATTTTCCTTTAACAGGAATGGCCACGCAGCAGATAGTGACGACAGGAATAAACACTCCGAGCCTAGTGAACCTGCAGAGAAGGCAGCGCGCTACGGGGAAGCGGACAGTGATCAACCGAAAAGTGCCAACTGCGCCAATGAGAGTTCGCCACAGGGAAAGGGTAGCCCGGGCGATCCTCCAGATGGGCGCAGTGATAAGCAAGAGGGTGACACGTCAGATGTCACGCGCAAGGAAGACGAATACACAGACGGCAAAGATAGTCAAGATGATCAAGACGACGAAGACGACCTGTACTCCGTCATAAGCGGCTCCGAGGGGGATAACGATATTTTCCTCGCCACGAAGAGAAACAATAAAACGTGCATGGCAGCCCCGAAAGGGGACAGCGCGAAGAAGGATGGACAAACAACAATCGATCAGCGGCAGCAAAAAGAAATCCATGATAAGGAGGAAAACAAAAAAGCTGTCGGCTCTCCACGCGCAAGCGCAACTAGGAGGATTAAATTCGAGGACGAAATAGTGCAAAATGATGAAGCGGTTAAAACGACAACAAAGGATAAAAAGGAAAGGCTGGATAAGAAGAAGGAACAAATGGGTGCCTCCCCCGGCCAGATGAACATAAGTCCGAACGAACAGGACACCAAAAAGAGACACAGGGAAAAGAAAAAACATTTTCAAAATAAAAAAAATTACGCATTTAAAAAACTTGTGTCTTCCACTATTAATATGTGCCGTCCAAGAATTAAAAGCGCAAATGGTACGGAGGATATTCTAAGCAATATGGAAAAAATTTCGAAAATGGTCATACTTGATGATGAAAAAATGGGGAGCGGAACGAATGAGATGGAGGAACAAGAGGAAGATGAAAGCACCAACAGTCTCTACGACGATGTAGATAACATCCTGGACGATCGGAAAAAAATGTACATGAAAAAAAAAAATGAATATCTTATGAACAAGACTAAAAGTGAAGGCTTAATGAACACTGCGGAGAATGAAAGCGGGCAGCAACAGAGCAGCAGGGGAAACTTAAACGATGTGCAAAAAAGCAGCGCTGGTAGGAGCACCGCTGCCGACGCCAAAGATGCAGAAGGAGAACGAACCGATTTTATGTACTACCTAAATCACAACATGATAGAATTAAATGAAAATGTTTTCAAATTATACCATGGGACCTGTGATTACACACATCGAAATTTGTGCGCAAAGAACATCATCAACATCGTGCCCCACCTGAACAACATATATGAGCGTACCAATTTAAGCTACATAAAGGACTCGCCAAATTTCCACGAAGTGTACAAGGTTGTTCCAGAGTGGAAAAATTCCTTCGAGATGCTAAACAAGAAAGCGCAAGAGGACACAGAAGATATGAAAAATGTGCTCAGGAGGATTGAGAATATTCAAAATGACTTGGATGAATTGGGAAGAGATCTCACAGAAGATAAAAAAGAATTCGAAAATATAAAATTCGAAACGGTGCAGCATGAATCCATGATAACAAATTTGGAGAAAAAAAATAAAATGCTTATTAAGGGAGTATTGAAATTGGATAATATGTCCTTTAAATTAAAAAAGGTACATAATATAACTACGAACAATATGAATAATTTTACCATTGCAGAAAATGTAAACAGGTTACTAAAATATATGGATAGTTCTCTTACCGATTATTCACAACTCTTTTCAGAGGAAAAAACTATGGACATTCTACGATTCCAGCCGATTGATCATGTTTATAATTCTCTCACCAACACAGATGATGAATCATGCTTCATCATGAATCTCCTGAGAGAGGAATTGAAAGAAATGATACTAGAGAAGAAGGACCAAATGCAAAATATCATAAGAAGGACCATGCTGTACAATGCATACAACACAAATAGCTACAAGGAGCAAATCACCAACACACTAAATAAACAGAGCCAAATGATAAATCGTATAAAATGCAACATACACAGCAATGTACTTCTACTCTTTGAAATGTATGAAAAATTTGCAAAGAAAAATATGAAGGTTGTAAAAATTGCGGAAAATCATATAAAGAATTACCTAAATGAAGAAACGAAAGCGTCCTACATAATAAAATCTGTTAACGATGACAAAAAAAAAATCTCCAAATATTTTAACTCTATTAATTTTACACGAAACAAACCAATTATTCATCCTTTCTTTATTCACTTTTGTTTAAGTGACAATTTTGTTCATCATTTTATTACCTTTGTTCTAGATCCTTTATCACACGAACACCAAAAAATTTTCCTGCAGTATTGTTCTGTGGCTGGTTTCAATTCTCCATTATTTGTTGAAAAAATTGTCAAACTGTACAGACAAGAAGAGCTATTCACCAAGAGTGACACTTCGTATGATTTTAGGTCAGCTTACTCCAGAATTATCCTCCCCGATTTCTCAGACGCTTGTAATAATTCATACCCTAATCCGCAGTATGAACGTTGGAATGAAGAAAATCAGTACTTGTTAGCTTTGAAAACTGCATCAGATTGCTGTTTTAAATCTCTTCTAGAGAACAACCAATTTGATCACCTCTCTGCCGTGGACTCCAATAATGCATTCAATTTGTTTCACTACATCCCCGAGTCCATAACCAACATGAGCAGCGGTGCGGCTGTTCCCAGTCACTCAAGTTATTCTCCCCTTCATACTAACAACAACTTTAGTTTTAACACTAGCAATAATGGACCCGTCTCCTCCTTTGGAATGGCAAACTTTGGTGCTACCAACAAATTCGGCACCTCTCCCTCATTTGGTAACAACAGCATGATGATGAATAATAGTTCCACGCTCAGTAACAATACCAGCGGGATGTTTGCTCAGAGTAGCGGAAGTCTATTTCCAAGTGGTACTTCTTCCTCAGGTGGGATGTTCGGAAGTTTCAATGCCACCCGCACCACGAGTGGCATGAACCAGGCAAGTGCCTCTACAAACCAGTTTGGCAGCCTCTCCAACCAGTTTGGTATCCAGCCCAGCACAACCCCGAGCAACACATTTGGAACGAACATGATGAGCGCCCCCTCAAGCGGAGGAGCGAGCAACATGTTTAACCAGAACAGCTCCAGTTCTCTGAGCGGATTTAACCAAAACAGAACCAACTGTTTTGTTGGGGGCACCTCTGGAGGAATGTTCGGAAGTGCTAACGCTGCAGCGGCCACCGCTGGTAGCGCCACCCAGCTAGGAAGCACCTCCAACGTGTTTGGGGGCACTCAGAACAGTTCGACCTCCATGTTTGGAAGTAACTTCAAACAGAATGTATCAAGCAATATGTTTGGCAATAATACAGCCGGTAATCAGGCCGGCGGTATGGCTAGTAGTAACCTGTTTGGAACAAGCGGAAGCGCCAACAGGGGAAATTTCTTCAACAGCAGCGGTGGTAGCGGCGCGCTGGGAATGTCGACAAATACGATGGGTGCAAACACCATGGGCGCCAACGCGGGACTGTTTAACCAGGGCAACAACGCCAGCACCAAGTCCAGCCTTTTCGGTGGCCTCTCCTCAAGTAACGCAAATATGTCAAACGCGCAATTCGGGAAAAGTGGGCAAATGGGCTCAAGTAACTTATTCCAAAGTGGCTCTAGCACAGCGGGCGGCATGGGCATGAGCAGCCTAAGTAACAACAGCGGCAACATGTTCCTTGCGCTTAACAATCAGTCCAACACGAATATGTTCGCAAGTAACAATAATAGTGGCAGCACCCCCTTTGGAAAAAACTTCCCCAGTGGAGGTAGCTCTAATTTGAAAGATAGCATGTTCTCATCGTCTCAATCAACCAGCAGGAATCAAATGACGAGTATTAATTTCTTTTCTGCAAATAAGGACATGATGGGTACGGCGACGAGTAATAACAATTTTTTTGCGAACACCTCTACAGGTGTAAACACTGGCGCGTCTGCATTTGGAAGCAAGCAAAATTTTGGAACGTCCAGCATGATGTCTGGAGGAATGAACTCAAGCCAAGCCAACCAAAGTGGAAACCTCTTCAATAGGGGTGGTATGTATAATGGGCAAATGTCAACCGTTTGTGGTAACACCAATTTTAACAACCTCAGCAGCAACAACAATAGTAGCAGAATGGACAATTCCCTTTCCGCCAATAAGTATGGAAACTACTTCCAGAATAATAGTACCTCCAAAAGCAGCATCTTTGGTGCAGGTGCGAATAACCTCTCAAGCAGTAGTAACACCAATTTTCTTCACGCAAATTCAAGCAATAAAAATAGCAACGTGTTTAATAACCCCAGTAGTAACAACACACCCATGGGAAATATGTTTGGTAACAACTTAGCTTACGGTAGTAATGCAAGCAGTTTGTCATATAACAATAGCACCAATAGAAATCCCACGAACAACCTGCTGAGTGCACAAAGTAGTAACAACCAGTTCAGATCACCTGTAGGGATGATGACAGGAAATAACACTCCCACCAGTAACAGTAATAATAACATGTTCCTATCTAACCAGAATAAATCCTCCTTCATGTTCCCAAATGATAATAAAGGAATGAGTAACCCTGCGACGTATAGCAATAATTTGTTTCAAAATGCAGGTAACAGTTTTCTTGCAAATAACAAACCTGGAATGACATCGCCGTCTAGTATGTCCAACAGCTTGTTCCAAAAAAATGCCTATTCTTCGCTAAATCAGAACAAAGGATCCATGTCAACTTTTAACCCTAACAGCAACAACCCCGGGAACTTTGGTTTGGTCAACCATAACGCCGGGCTCATGGGTGGGGCCAACATTGGCAATACCAGCGGCAACAACAGCAACGTTAATCGATTCCAGCAGAACAACTCGTCGAACTTCCCCTCAGTTTTCAACCAATCTAACAAGGGCAACACCATCTTTTCGAGGTAACCCCTTTTTTTTTGTGGGTGAAACGGACAAGTGCAAATGGGAGAAGCCCTCCCGCAGAGGTGGTCACGTGATTCCTTCAAATTATTCTGAAGAGGTTGCTACACAGGACCTCCTGAATAGCACGTTTGTTCACACCTGCGCGTGGGTACTTACATGTGTTATGTCAGATGCGTCGTGGGTTCCCTTTTCGAATGAGTTCCTGCTTGCGATGTGTATCGCTGCATGGCACCAACCTGTCTATGCGGGGTGGATGCATCCCGCAAAATGTTTCTTATTAAAATTTTAAATCATCGCGAGGAGGGCAAAAAAAAACGGGTATATGGATATGCACACTCCAAATGTATGTTTGCACATGTGAGTATGCCCCCCTATCCACCTTTTCTCCCATATGGCTCGATTTGTATATATGACTCCTCCCCCACGTTTGATATACCCCATTCGTACATCGCTTGGCCACCATTTTTTTTCCCTTTTTTTTTTTTGTGCACAATTTCTTCCAATAAAAAAAGCGTATGAGCATAGGCATATCAACCCAAGTTAACATAAAATTTGTGTTTTTTTTTTTTTTTCCTTTTTAAATAAATCACAAACGTTTTTAAAATGAGCACTTCGCATGTCTATCGACTCGAATGCTTCTTTTTTCGAAATTTGTCATATATTTAAATAAGAATAAACAAATCTTAGTCCAGAATTTTGAGCCATCCACCGCTTTAAAAAAAAAATAGGTGTAAAGCTCTTGTTCAATAGTGGAGCTTAATGTAACTGTGTTTCATGGAACACGAGTGCACATCTGTGGGGGATGGTCACCACGGAGAAGACACAACAAAAACAGCATGCAGGAAATTCGCCCATTAGAATTCCTATCCAATTGGAATATCGAGACGGTGAATGGGTCTAAAGCGAGTGGGAAATGACCAGTGGTGAAGTGTAGACGAGATGACGGTTAACACGAAGGTGACTTAATCGGGAGTGTCAAACGAATGATACGCACTCGTTACGATTCCACTGCACCTCATCGTCGTAATGCACTAAGACCCCTTCTTACGTAACCACCGTACATGCAAAAAGGCCAACAGCAAAAGCACCAAAAAGGTGCAGATTAAGGTGATCAATAAGTTAGCGCTTGTACCGTTGGTATCCCCCTTTGAGTTACCACCACCCAGCAAGCTAAGCAGTATATTCTTCCCTAAAAAGAGAACACCCTCCTCCAGGTTAAGGTCCGCATCAGAGCTGGTCCCATCAACTGACTGATTCATTTTGTCAATGGTACCCACTTTTCCCGCTTCCCCCTTTTGCGTCACAATGTGCCCATTAATGTAGGCACTCCCCTCCGATTTCCCCACTTGAGCCTTAACAAACTCGGAGTCGTAATGGGCCGAGACGTAATAATTTACGCGCACCGATTCTGTATCCCCACTCCCATGACATTCACAGAAAAAATGAATAATATGTTTTTCCTTCTTCAGTTTGTCTATGTTGCGTTTGTTTAAATGTAGGAGAGACTCCATGGCCTCCTTCCCACCTGGCATGAGTAATCTCCTCTGAGGGATAACAAAAATGTCATTACTACCAAACACAAATTCAATGTTGTGGAGAACCCCCTTCTGTAGGTATACCTTATCGAAGCATTTCATCCCCTCATCCTGTGAATTCAGGGGACAAACCAATCCAATTGTTTTTTCATCACTTTTGAAGTTCGAAATGATAACATCTATTGTTTTTTGGTTCATTTCATATTTGGTCAATTTTTTATAATTAGGTGAGACATTGGACAAATCGATACCATCATACAAGAGTACTTCACCTCCTTGCACAAAATGCAAATTCCTAATCGACCCATGGGGCAGTATTATAGTGCTGGTCTGATTTTCACTCTTCGGGACAAAATTAGAAATGACATATTCTTTTTCAAAGGGTAGATAAGCGTTTATATAAGTTCCCATGGGGAATACATCTCCACCTGTTTCCGGGTCATACCTCCTCTTAGCATGCACAACAATGTCGTTACTAGTAATTTTAATTACATCCTTTTCGTCGGTATAATTTAAGTCCAGAATGTTTCTAATGTAATCAAATTCGACATCCACTCTAAGGCCATTGCTTAACGTACAGTAGGTTTTTTTATAATTGTACAAAAATTTGGAGTAGTATAATGGGAAGTAAAACTGGACTTCCCCTTCTTGGGTGTCACTTCCAGAGTTGGCCTTCCTCACCACAGTTGTGTGATACTCACTCTTCAGGTCCTTACTAAACGAAAATGTAAAGCAATCAGCATTTAGAGACACCCCTTTGGGCAAGGTTATGTAAAGCACTTTGAACAAGCCATCGTCGGTATTTCCAAGCTCTGATGTGGATATTTTACAAATGCGATGATTTTGCATGTTCTGAATTGAAAAAGTGTGAGAGTAGCTGTTGTTGGATTCCCCATCTGGGAGTACTTCGCACCCTGGCTTCCTCTTTGGTGCATTTATTTTTATCACTGTGGTTTTTTCACCTACTTCTGCGTGACAAAATAGGTATACTACCATCTCTCCTTTGGCCAAAACAAATTCATATGCTGTTCTGTCCAAAGGGCTTCCTCCCTCTACATCACTTTTGCCATTCCTGTGATTCTCAATCTGGTAATGAAGAATCGGCTCAAACGTTTCACTCAAGTTATAAACAATTGAAGGTACCAAATGGGTCCCATTCTTTTCACGCAAAACGGCCATATGGTAACCATTCACCACTTCATATGTGTGTAAAATATACTCGTCCTTAACTTTTAACTTTATCTTGTCACAGTAGAGGTCGTTTTTGTACAGACTGTTGCACACGAGTATCACTGTCTTGGTGGACTTACTATCATTATTAATATTTACAGCTTTTATGGCTAGCTTTCCTCCTATTTGAGTTAGACTTAAGTGGATATCAGGTTTAGGGGGCGCTCGTTGTTGGGCTTCCTCCGTGGCTGGGACCTCCAACTTTACGTCTTCCTCCGCTGATTCATTCACCTCTTTAACACTCTCCCACGTGTCATCACGGCTCAACTCTGTATTATCCTCACCACTTTCATCACTGCTTAACTCATCGCTGTGCATCCTAGTTACACCCTCCTTCCATGTGTTCCCCTCGTCGAACGATAATTTGCACCTACCCAGTACCTGAAGTTCTGAAAAGGGGACCGCCTTCACCTCATCGTCACTGCTCTGTTCGCTCCCATTTGGGTCTTCCCTGGCGCATACCAAAATGAACTTCTCATATTCGCTGTTCATAAGTAAGTAAGACCCGGAGTACACCGCTGGAATTGCATCCATAGCGAAGTCAGAAAAAGTTACTTGTTTTATATTTTTCCAAATTTTGTCTTCCCCCATCTTTGCAATGTAGTATATATTAGAACATCTAAAAATCACCATCATCTCATCATCAGTTGTAAACACAGAAAAAATAGTTGCCCCGGCACCCCCATCCTTCACTTCAATGTTATTATTATTTTCCCATACCACCCCATCCCTACTTTCCTGAACCCTTAGTGCACATTTTCCCTTAACAGGCACAAATGCATAAATGCTGCCTTTAAAGTGTTTTTTACTATAAACTATTTGCTCGCCATCGTAATCAACTTTAGACTCGAACTTCCCTTCAAGGGTCACATTTGCATAGCCCTGCTGCGCCTTGAAAAAAGGCAGAAGTAGTACAAGGCTAACAAATTCGAAAACACGCATGTTTACTATACTGTCACTAAAAAAAAAAAAATATATATACTTCACTATGCGAGCCTTACTCTCCCAGGGTGGATAACCAATTTGGAAAATTCCCCCCAACTATGTTTCTCTCAGAATGGAAAATTCGCTAAAGTGTGAAATAATCTGTGTGTGCGAATGGTTCACTGATCCTCCTAAAATGGCCAACCAAATGGGAATGAAGAACGGAGCAGAAGATAGAAAAAAAGGCTCTCTTTATGCCGCCCTCCTTTTTTTTCGGGGCGGGGTACTCAACCGTTACAAGTGTGTTACATGTGCACAGGACAAATTCACCCTCCTCATGCTTTCGCAACCTATTCGGAAAAGTAGCTTCCTTTACTGCCAGCTGCAGACATATCAACTAAGCAGTAATCGACGCTTCAAAAAAAAAAATAAAGATCCTTTTTTCTTTCCCCTTGCCATTTGCACAATCAATATGGGAGTTATTCGCAGCTGGGATTGGTGAAAGGCTCGAAGAATAACAAGACCGTTAGCAGCTTAACAATCTTTTTCCATTAAAACTATTGCTCGGTTACACCCTCTCTCGGGTGAGAGCAGTCGAACGGTGCTCTGCCACTGGCGTCATTACACAAATAAATTAACAACCCGTGCGTCACCTAATTTTGCTTAGTTCCAATTTTACACTTTTGGATTCACACCAAATGTTACGTGCTTACCGTTATTTCTCTCCCGTTTTAACCATCAAACGGTGTGTTCATCACGCCACATCAGGTTGTTCGCGTTTATTCCCCTCGTATACGGCTCCTACATTTTAACGCAATTTTTAACAACCTGATTATTCGATTATTCTTACCTGACTATTTCAGGTTCTTTTTCATTATGAAGTTGATACACACTGTTGTGTATACGCGTGAAAACAAAAAAAGGAGAGAAGGGAAAATAAACAAGATAGCTCATAACATAAAAAAAAAATTAAAATAAAGCAGAGCTGGGCAAAGCACAGCAGTGCGAAGAAAAGCGACGCCATAACAAGAGAAACAGAATAAAAAAAAATGGCAACACTTTTTTAATTATCCATTTGGGGCAAATGTTCACACAAAAAAAATAGAAGCTCGAGGGTGAGGGGCGGCATGTTAAAAATGGCTCATCATTTTTGAAAGGTCAGTGCATACGGTGGTGAAGGGACTGTGAAGGGGTGGCGAAGGGAGCTACGCATGGTATGCACACGGTATACAAAATGTGATAGCCACCGCTTCGATCGGACTCCCGCTCAGAACGTCACTCCACGCAAATGTCATTAAAAATGGAGTACTTGTTATAGTACAGCTTCTCAATACTCTTGGCCGTGTTGTAATCACCAAAAACCTTCAGCAGGAGAGAGGAGCTCTCAATTAGCTTCTTCACAAATTCTTGGTCAAACTGATCAATCTCTTGATTGGCCCAAAAGATAGACGCCTTCTGTAGGTTATCAAGAATTTCCATATTTTTAATTTTTTTTTCAAAAACATCAATCCAGTAGGTAGTAATAATATGAACAATTCCTTCAATGTCTAATTCGTTATTCCCCTTGGTTTTGTCCCAGATGTTACTTTTGGGTATTTTACTATCAACTAGCCATTTGTTCCCATACTGTGCTTCTAAAATTCTTTCTATCATGGGAGACAAGTGGGTTGACAAAAGGTGGAAAATATTTAAAATTATATCTAATAAGACATACTCATTGTTAATGTATATACTACTTTGTGTGTTCATGAGGAGAGAATGAATTAAAGTGGATGGATAAATCCTTCTGTTATTATCATCAATTTTCAATTTGAGAATTACGTCATCATTTATGTTGTGGCTGCTTAACAGACTGTGGGCAGAAATAATTATATTTTCACTCGAGTTGTACAAATTTCTGTAAATAATATTTCCTATATTCCAGGAGATATACAAGTAGGAGTTGATAGGGATGTTATTAGAGTAATTGTTTCCATGCATGTAGCAGAAGAAGTCCCTCGCCGCGGTGATGTTAATATTTGTGAATGTATGTCTCCTGTTTATGTACAAACTGTTCGAGGTGGCACTTCTCTTTTTTAGCAAATTGAACCCCTTGTCTTGCATTATGCACTCCCGCAAATCGGCATGCTTTAAGTTGTTAGCTCTACTGCTATCGTTGCTACCGTTTTTGTCCAGGACATAAATCCTTTTGTTATTCTTGAGGCTTATTATATCATCGGTGATTTGGGCCTTGTCCAGGTGCTGTGACTTGTGCATCATCTCTTCCACGGCATTTGAGTACAACGACAGGGAGCTCTTCATTCTGGAGAAATTGGACAGCGGGGAAGGGCCCAGTATTCCAAGGCCACCAACGTTACCAAGCTTTCCAAAATTAGTCAAGCTTGTCAAACTTGTCATATTTGTAAAGTTAGATCCCCCCCCTCCGTGGCTTCTCAAATCGTCGTCATCACAACCGTACACATCATCACAGATCCCCTTTCTAAAATCCTCAGGGTTCATAAAATCCTCGTTAGAGTTATTCTCATACGATGCATTATTTTCCAGATATTGGCAAAATTGGCGAATCACATTAATGCTACTCTGGTAAATAACACTCATATTGGCATCTACATTCTCCTTTGTGATTCCATACTTGTTAATAATATTATTCGTCAAGGCCTTACACTCCAAAATTTTTATCGGCGGGTAATAGTAATATTCCAAAATGTGAAACACAGCGGTGCACTCGTTAAATATTTCCACATTCTTAATTATAGTATACTTGGTGGTATTCTTAATGCTGCATTTGATCTTCGAATTCACACTGTTGATATCCCAAAAGATATTCAAATAGCAAGATTCATTCATAAAATAGTATTTACAAAATCCATTAATGCTAGAAAACATACCATCACTGTTACAACCAAATTCAGTACATCTCATAGGGGAAATTTTCTCATTGGGTAATTCTACCCAATTTCCTTCCGTCAAAATGGACGATCTGGATCCTTTACTATCTGATAGGGTTAATGTTTGCCTGGTAAAATTGATAATCAAAATGTATAACGATTTGTGTGCCTTTCTTAGCCGTTTCTTCCATTCATAATTTTTAATATTCACTATAAAACTTAAAGGCAAAATTTCCATTATGTCTTCATTTCGGTAAGAATTATAAATCAGCCTATCCCTCAACACACTATCCTCCTCATTCGGGTAATTGTAATTATGGCTGCCTTCGTTTCTTCTCGCCAAATTATTCATACTCTTCTCATACTTCAATTTCTCCTTCTCTTCCATAATTCTTATGTTTAAAATTCTGAGCAACCCTTTTTTTAATTTCTTTTTGTGATATTCGATAAATCTCTTCCCTTCTTCCGTCTCCAAAATGCTTATGTAGAATTTACTATTATACGTATTGTCCAAACTGTGTTTAACTATGAAGTAATTTTGCTGGGATAACATTTGTGCCTGGTCATTTTTTATATTCATCCCTAGGACGGCTGACGCTGTGTTGTCTCCCAAAAGGGGGATATCAAAACGGGCGTTCAAAATGTAGTCTTCGTTATTTATCACTACGCAATATTGTAGAATGCCATAAAAGTTTCCCATCGTTTTCGTAAATTTTGCGATGCATTTTTCTTCTCCTTTGATCTTTAGACACTCCGGAGGGTTCACCAACCAGATGCCATGCTTTACTGAGTGCATATACCTGTAAAATGTGCAGCTCGTGGCGTTCAAAATTCGTATTTCGCATTCTCTGTTTTCCATGGTGGTCTACACTTTTGCAAATGTGCTAAGCAAATCAGGGCAGCAATGTGCAACTTTTTTGACCAAATTTATGCCACTTCTTTCACCGTGTGAAATGGCACTTTTTTTTTTTTTTTTTTCTTTGTACGCCCATTAATGTACCATTTGTCCGTGTCCCATGTTACGCCTTTCGCCTGGGGCCAAACTGCGTCTACGCTTTGGTGCCCCAGCGGAGATTCACATGTAGCTGCAGTCACATGCATACGGAAAAAAACAAACAAACACTTACACATATGTATATTTATATGTATATATATATAAATACTATATGTGCTTTTTTTTTTTTTTTCTCTCCTTCGTTGTCTTCCTTTTCCAGGTTCCTTCAGGGACGCTCGCAGGCCAGCTCAACGTGCAGCAACTTTGTCAGAAGAATTTCCCCTCTTGTACCTTTCCTCAAATTTGTGCATATATACCTCTGCCTATTTTTGGTCAACCTAACGCCCGCTCACTTCGTTGGGAGCTCTTCTTTCCGCATTCCTCTTCGTGGGGTACGCGCCAAGCAAGAAAAGCGCACTTGGCAATAAATGCGTACATAACAAGTATACATGTTCATATGTACGCCTTTACGTACGCATTGGCGCATGTACCTTTTTTTCCGCCACAAAGGCAAACAAATCCACATTTGGGATTTTATTTCCTCAGGAGCAGCGCTCATTCGTCCTACTTGCCTTTAATTGTACTTTAAAGGCATGCCCAATGCGGGGTGCCTCTTATGTGCACTATTCGTATGTACATTATTCCTTGCCTTTTTCAAGCTTCATTCTTTGCATGCCACGTTTCGTTGTGATTTTTTTTTTTTTTTTTTTTTTTTTTTTTTTTTTTTTGCGAAAGAGTATACT